AAGGTTTTTAAACAGTACCTGTCCTAGAATTTTAAAGATGGTTAACAGAAATTTTTTGAAGCCTATAAACAATGTGTTCATCTTAAGTTACCATGGGAACTGCTATAATAAAGACTAAAAAAAAATCAGCTCTGCATGCAAGGAACAGAAGCTTGAATTGGAGAAAATCCTGCTTTTAATATTATTCAGATATGGTCATTTTGTGGATTTGATGTTATATTAGGAAGAGGGGGTGCTTTTGGGGTTTGAATGTCTGTTTTATGGCATTGCTGCAGCAGCGTGTGTGCTGCTGGTTGCTCTGTTATATCATTCCCCATTTGAGGATTTAGTAGCAAACACATGCATTACATAGAAGATACATGTCTGAAGTTTGAAATGCAAGTCAAACTGGATGTTGTATGAATTGCATTGAGTATAGTTGAGGCTTTTCTTTTTCTTTACCCTGCTATAAGTACATGCTAGGGTAAAACTGGCAGCAGAGGGTCTAACATTCCTGCTCACAATGTTTTCTCTGAAATCTGCCTGGGTAGAGTGGGAGATCTTTTTATTCCAATTGACACCAATGGCACCCTGCATTTTTTCTTTTTTTGTTTTGCCCCTACTCCCACCCCATGCACTGTAGTTTGGTTTTCTGAGTATACAGTGGTACCTTGGCTCACAAACGCCTTGGGTCACGAACAAAAATTTCATGAAGATTTTGACTTGGGTCACAAACTCCACTTTGGGTGGTGACCAAGATCGCAGCCATCTCTCCCCCCCCCCCCGAGTGGGGAGATGGCCACAATCGCAGTCGCGTTCATGCAGGGAACACATTTGTGATCACGGCTGTGCTGCACTACGCCCGTCTTTCCTGCAGCTGTGATCACGCACGTCTTCCCTGCATGAATGTAACTGCAATCCTGGCCATCTCCCCACTTGGGGTGGGGGGTACGGGGAGATGGCAGTGATCTTGGTTGCCACCCAAAGTGGAGTTCGTGACCCAAGCGGTGGGGAGATGGCTGCGATTGTGCTGGTTGGGGGTGGGGGGTAGATGGCCGAGATTGCACCCGTCTTTCCTGCAGGAGCGCATCCATGCCAGGGTTTCTTTGAGAAGCACCACCCCCACATAAATGTAACGAACAGAGTGTTGAATCTGATTAACAATAACGTGGTCTCTCATTTCCGGAGGGTTATGCAGCGCAGGAAAAAACAAGTGACTATACACAGATTCTTCACCAAAATTGACCCTGCAGCTAAGGCCCAAAGAAGAGAGGAAACCCCGGAAAGAGATCTCCCCAATGTCCTTATTCCTCAAAACAATTCCTCAAAACTCTTCCTCAAAACAATAACCCCCCCCCACCTAGATTAGTGTTCTCCACTGTACTGCACAGTACTTTGTTACTTTGTTGTTCTTCTCACTTTGATTCAAAAGTTCTGATAAAAAAAATAGTTACAGAATGGATTAACCTTATTTACATTGAACCTTATGGGAAAATTTGACTTGGCTCATGACCAAACACTGGCTCACAACCACATTTGGAGGGGCCAGAATGGATTAACCTTATTTACATTGAATCTTATGGGGAAAATTGACTTGGGTCACAACCAATTTGGGTCACAACCAGTCGTGGAACGGATTAAGTTCGTGAGCCAAGGTACCACTGTATATGCATGCAGAAATTTCAGTTGTAGCAGGGTCTGAGGCTGTGTTTTTAAAGAGTGATTAGTTACCACCACTTAGCATCCTTCCCCATCCTTCATTGGGTCAGTAATTACTAATGTTTTAATTATTGCTATTATTGCTATTGCCCATATCAATACATCCTCTGCAATGGGATATTAACTCTGCCAAGGATAGTACCCACATGATCCAGGCAATCCACTATGATAACGTTTATATGTTACTGATATGATAGAGAACCCTGTTATGTTTGCCATAACAACCATACCATGATATTAACATATGAATTACCATTATAGCATGGTGGTTTGGGCAAAGCTGTTCATTCGTATGACCCACTAAATAAGAACCAGGTATACAGAAGGAAAAAAACAGGAGTCAAACAATTGTAGGGAAAGGAGCAAGATGGAGAAAGGTCGCAGAGTAGGAAGTCATCAGTGGTTAGATTGCTGTTTGACTCATAAACCATGGTGCATGGTTTGCACATAACAATAACCCTTGACTCAACAACAACCAATATGCTGGGTTGTCATTATTTGTTAAACCATCCTGAGACTACGGTAAGGGATGGTCTAAATAAATAAATAAATTTGTGAGGCTTGTCATTTTCTTCATATAGGATACTCAGCTTGCCCACTTCTCCAGAATTCCTCCCTTTTCATTGAACAAATAAACAGTCAGATTGCAAGATGAAACTTTGCTGTTTAATGTTGAGCTATCTGGAGAATGGGAGGTAAGTATTAGGCATCTGACATAGATTTTTGTATCTTTTGAGTTGTATACTGAGCTGAAAATGCTCAGAAGAATAAAACTGCCTGAAGCAGTTTACAATTTCTAGAAGAACCAGTAATTCTTAGTCAAATTCAGGTGAACCTAGGGTCATATTTCATTATAACAAAAAACCCCACAGTAAGCCCATATTGAACAGAGGCCCATAGATAGCATATTAAAAATAACAAAGATGGGGGAAGGAAAGGGAAAGCAGAGCAGGTGGCAGCTGGAAAAGTTAACTTCAGAGATAGAATCATGTGTATATTATTCCTTTCCCACCAAATCATGGTGGAAAATATCAATTAGCCCAAAAATGAAAAATAGATTGCAGGAAGGGGGCAGTCTGGCCTCATTGACTGACCTTCTCTACATTATACCTACATTTGAGAAGTATGTAACAAAAGAACAAGTTAGATTTATGGATGATTACTTTCTAATCCGGAAAGCTTCTTTTCCAAGCACAGCCAAAGTTTCAGTAAATAAATGTACTGGAAAACTGTAACGTGAACTAGCTTTCCAGGCTCCAGAAGGCAGGAAAGGGGTTAATCCAAGAAGTAACAATATGCTGAAAATACCAGGTGGCAGTCTGGTGGGAATCAGGTGCCCAATGCCTTTGGGAGACGTAGAATTATAGAGTTGGAAGGGGCCATGAAGGCCATCAAGTCCAATCCCCTGCTGTCACAGGACACCAATTCACATCATCCTCCATCTTTGGTTAGGGAGGCAAGAAATCTCCAAATTGGACTCAAAGAGGCAGGAGATAATATGGGATGACTAGTTAACAAGTGGCACCTGGAGTTAATGGCTGGATTGAGAGCCAAGCCCTCACTGACCTGGGTTGGCAGTGGGTAGGGGAAGAACAAAGTCTAAAGTGTTGAGCAGCCTTTTGTTCCTCCTTTGGGAGAGGTTCTGTTTTGCTGCTGTTTCTCTGTATCGAAGACTGCTGTGGCATCCTGCATCTTCTGTGCTGTTAGAAGGTAGAGTTACTGTGACTAGGCTAGGCTGGACATTGTTTGTTGTTTTCTTGTCCGAGTGGGCCAACAAGGGCCCTGTGAGTGCGGTTCTTGGTTGGCTGTAACTTGTCTTTTTGGTGCTGTACAAATCCCCTTCCCCCTCCTTTTCTCCTCTTCCCTGTTTTTATCCTTTTAGATTGTTTATTTTAGACCTTCCACCCTATTTTAACCTTTTACTAAAGTTGTTTGTTTCCTCTGTTTGTTTCCAGTGTCTGGTCCAGGGTTCTTGGGTCAGAGATTTACTGGGCAGGATTTGGCCCAGTTGGCCAAGGGAGTGGGGAATCCTGGCTGGCTTTTCATTACAAATACAACATCCACTGTGTGATTGGTTAACTGTAAACATGACCGATTACTGGAAGAAGAAGAAGAAGAAGAAGAAGAAACATTACCGTAGATTAACTTTGCATTTGTGTTATGGGGTCATTTAAATTGTCTTGGTATGTGAGTCATAAATCACCACATATAACTGAGTGGCTGTATTTCATTTCACTGCAATGTGCAACTTGCTATGAACATTTTGTTAAAGTGAAAATCAATTTAGATTTCATGCACCACTTTACCAAATGAACTACTATAAAATATTGATTTAACTGTGAACATAACTGGTTCATGGAAGAAGAAAATGCTGTAGATTAACTTTTACTGTTACTGAATGACCATTAGCTCTGTAATCATTACTATAACCAATGCATTCAAATAAACAAACGAAATAAACATTAAAGGTAGAGAAGCAGTGATCCAGGGGGATGATGACAATTGGCAGAATTTGGAAAAGCAGCTTATTCCACCCTAATAACCTTCAGGTTAAAATAAATTAAAAAGAATAGGGCATTTTCTGAAGTCGTGTGGATTTTATAGATAGCTACATTCATCATAGGATATTTTTGAAAATAACATTAAAATCAATATACATCTTATATTATAAAAGTGGGTTTTACTTGCTTGCTATACCTGTTTGTTATTTAGTCCTTTATATACCTTCATAATATCTGGATCTGAGGGCACTCTAGTATTGTGTATATTACAAAAAAATAAAAAAGAAAACATACCCTAACAATTACATCCTTAACTATTCAAACATTTACAACAACTTTTCAGTTATTATGGAAGTCCTTTGAAGTGCTGTGCATTATGAGTGAAATTCCTGGCTTAGAGTGCCTTTTTATATCACAAGTGTCTTCCAAACTGCTTTGAACACCATGCGTCACTGTTCTTCTGAACTAATTGACTGGGTTCACACACCATGCTAAGCCAGTGGCAGTATGCCTCTGTATACCTGTAGCTGGAGAACTTCAGCCAAAGGGTGCTGTTCCATTTATATATTGCTTATGGGATGCTGTAAGCAGGTGTTTGGCCTCTGTGTAAATAGAAACTGGACTATATGGAGCTTTGGTCTGATCCAGCATGGTGGTTCTTATATTCTTATCTGTTAACATTGTGACCATAATGTTAAAAGCAGTTATAGTTTGCAAAGCACCTTTCAATATTATTTAGAAATATATGAAGATGTAAGCCATGAAATATTTTTTTCAATATGTCCATTATTTGATTAACAGGCATATGACCAGTCTAGTGTTTGTGGACCAAAGAATGCAGGAGGTGAGTTTGGTGCATTGCAGACTACTGTAATAAATATTCCACAAATCCTCTGTGTATATATGCAGGTCATAGCATGTGGCCATGCAACTAATGTATGCTGAAAGGTGAAGTATGAATGGGCAGCTCCAGTGCTTCTAGTGGAAAGGAGAGAGTGAAAGCTACATATGCGGCTACATTTATTAGTAAGAACTGGACAGTCTAGAACTGGGCAGTCTTTTCAAATAAAAGAATGCAGGTTAGGTCCACAGCCATCCTTAAAGTATAATCTTATGAAGAAAAAAAAAGTCTGACAACTCCCAGGATTCCCCAGCTAGGGAATGCTGGACACTGTAGACTTATTCCTGTTGAAATATGCATGGGATTGTGCTCTTCAAGAGGTCCCATTAATTCCAGTCTGTCTAGTCTGAATATAATTATGTCTGGTTCCAGCTTCGCATGTGCCCAAACAGGTACACATTCCTACATTGTAAGAATAATGAATATGTACATGCAGACATATGTGTTTGTGGACCATAGACAATGATGAATATGTGCATGGGGACACCACTAGCCTCAGGTTTTCAGACTACAGTGGCATCCATAAAAAAATTCCTTGTCCCTACATAGCAGTATTGTGATAAACTCCAGCTACTTAAGAAGTCACATGGAAGCTCTTGCTAAACCCAGCATGCCCTAGTTTCAAAAGAGGACAGGAATTATGGCATGGACTTCTTGAACACAGCTGGAAACTCCTCAGCATGGAAGGAGATGTCACTGGTACAGTTCATGATTATTATCATGCAAATGTTTACTAACTCAGCACCTCCAGGGCTCAAAATGGCATTTAAGCCTCAATACACATAGTAATAGAGTGTCCAAAGATGCATTGACTGATTCCTGAGTAGTTTTTAATCTGGCTAAAGAGACTGTGGGTAACATAATGGCTCCTATCAAGTCTTTGAGTCTGGCTACTGGGTGCACACAACACAATAAGCCATGGAGATTTGTAAGCATATGGTGGCCTCCCATGTTCTCTGAACCCAGCAGCATGGCTGGTTAACCAGTTCAGACAACATGACAAGCCACTCATGGCTTCTCAGCTACCACTGCTTTATTGTGTTGTGCGAACCCGATGTTCATACTGGGGAAAAGAAGTGCCATGGATTTCCATTCCTGCATCAAACCACCATTCAGCAGCAGGAGGGGGCATTCAGCTGCATCTCCCAGGAAGAGGTCCAGCTGAATGCTGTTTCTGCCTACAGTCCTCTACCCTTGATGACAACAGTTCCTGCAGGCACCATACTAGCCACAGGCAGGATGGCAAGCTCGTGTCTCCAGATCCTGAGTGGGCAGTGTAGCACAGGATATTCATCTGTGGCACTGCCACTTGCCTGCATGCCTCCTCTTTGGGAAGAAGGAGGTGCACAGGGTAGGGGAAGGGAACCCAAGAGGGGGAATATTTATTTAATTAATTTAGAATTTTTGTATGCCGCCCCATCGCTTATAGCCTCGGGATGGCTTACATAAAATAAATAAACATAATACATAATAATACAATTAAAAACCAAGAATCACCCTGGCTGCAAAAATAAAACCTATAAATATTATTACGAGTTGTTAAAATATTGTTTAAATAAAAAGGACTTAGCCTGGTGCTGAAAAGCAAATAACAATGGTGCCAGGCAGACCTCTCTGGGGAGCACATTCCATAGATGGGGCACCACCGCAGAGAAAGCCCTCCTTCGGGTACTTTGCTTCCTGATGTCTCTCACGGAGGGCTCCCAGAGGAGGGCCACTGCTGCCGATCTCAAGGGGCAGGAGGGCAAATAAGGAAGCAGGCATTCCTTAAGGTATCCAGGTCCCAAGCCGTTAAGGCCTTTATAGGTGATTACCAGTACCTTGAACTGAGCCCGGACTTCAATGGGAAGCCAGTGAAGCTGGTAGAGGACTGGGGTTATATGACAATAATGCCCAGTCCCCGTCAGCAACCTGGCTGCTCTGTTTTGCACCATCTGAAGTATCCGGACTGTCTTCATGGGCAACCCTACGTAGAGCGCGTTACAGATACCCAACCAGGAAGTAACCAATGCATGTGTCACTGTTGCTAGGCAATCGTTCTCCAGGTAGGGACGCAGCTGATGGATTAGCCGAAGCTGAAGGAAAGTGCTCCTCACCACCACAGTCACCTGAGCTTCCAGGGACAGCTCCGGGTCGAGGAGCACTCCCAAGCTGCAGACCCTGTCCTTTAGAGGGAGTGCAACCCCACTCAGGGCAAGGTCCAAGTCACCTACCCAGGAGCTCGAACCACCCACCAACAGGACCTCCGTCTTGTCTGGATTGAGCTTCAGTTTATTGGCCCTCATCCAGCCCATTACTTCGGCCAGGCACCGGTTTAGTACAGCCACTGCCTCACCTGGATTGGTTGAAAAAGAGAGGTCAAGCTGGGTATCATCAACATATCTTCTTTTCCTAGGACTGTGCTGGCTAGCATTGAACAAAAGAGTCACTTTCCCCATGGCAGGGGGAGGGCATGAACCAACTGGTACTGTTATCTCTGTGCCAACCCCAGGTTGCCCATGCCTCCCACCTGGCAGAACTGGTGACAGGAACAGACAGATGCCCAACTTTGGCCTTGGGAGGCCAGTGCCAGGTAGCTCATATCTCATGTCCCATTTATTTATTTATTTATTTATTTATTTATTTATTTATTTATTTATTTATTTATTTAAAACACTTCTATGCCACCCCCATCGCAACAAAGCCTTGGGGTGGCTCACAACATAAATAAAACATATAAATATAACAATTATACAATCAAAATTAAAAACCCCGGTGACATCTTGGCTTAATTTTTTTTAAATCCTATAAATACAATAAATTAACAATTAAAATAAGTTTTAAATAAAAAGGTCTTAGCCTGGCGCTGAAAAACAAATAGCGACGGTGCCAGGCAGACCTCTTTGGGGAGCACATTCCATAGATGGGGCGCCACTGCAGAGAAAGCAGTGGAAGAGCTGGCTCCAAGCTGAACACCAGGCAACAGAAAGGGAGCAGGCACTTCCCAGCATCTTCCCAGAAAGGAGGGAGGAAATAGGGTGGAGGTTGCTAGGCTGTTCACTTTACTTTCCTTTTGACTGCTCATTCTTGTCCACCACCACAGTCGATGCAGGTGTGACTTGGACTTACCTTCTCTTGACGTACCTTCTCTTGAGGACAAAAAGGCAAGCAGTTGCCCCCTCCCCATTGTGCACTCCTTCCCCAGGTCCCAAACAGTATGTAGCAACTCCAGTAATCCCCCCACACCCCCGTCATTGGCAGGGGCATGCTGGGAAACCAAAAACAGTCATAGAAAGTGCTACTTGGGCAGTTTGCCAGCTTTCATCCAAAAGCAGTAACACTTTTTGCCACTCTGGCCATGGGGCTCTCTAGCCTTTCAGTTTGGCTGTGGCTTAGAATGGCATGGTTTGGATAACACAGTAGGTCACATGAGCTTTTAAAAAATGAGGGCATATCAGGCAAAATGTTCTTAGCAACTCTTAAATTGAAAATTTTTAATATGCACACAAAAGGTTTGCCAACACACACATTAAATATATACCTTTATTATGGGCTATTGTTGCTGGTCGTGAAGTCGCATCCGACCCATCGCGACCCCATGGACAACACTCCTCAAGGCCTTCCTGTCCTCCACCATCCCCTGGAGTCCACTTAAGCTCACGCCGACTGCTTCAGTGACTCCGTCTAGCCACCTCATCTTCTGCCGTCCCCTTTTTCTTATAGTAACAGCTTTAAAAGTGGCCAAGCAACTTAGCAGTAAATTAATACTCCAGGATAAAAATCTTCAGTTGAAAATACAAGTCTGTTTTAAAAAAATGATTTATGCTTGAAATTATACTCACCCAGGAATACATCTTGGTGAATTTAGTGGAGCTTACTTCTTCATAAACATGTATAATATTGCACTGTAATAAACATTATAGAAGTATTGAACTGTTGTACAAGCAGGTTTTAATTTTCTTTTAAAAATTTAATCTAGATTTTACAGAAGACCCGAAGAAATCAAACATAATTTTTGTAATTGGTAAGTAGAAACTTCAGAACCACTATTAATTGCAGCTGGTGTTCTGGCATCATAGTGGAAAAATGTTCACTCTCGATCATTAAACGGTAAAAAAAGTTCCTCTGCAAAGTTATGCAAGTTTATATGAACAGATTTTGTTCTGGTTTAGAAACCCATGCTGTAAGCCATCTCAAAACTATTCACAGCTTGATTACTCTAGCATAAATTGTCAGGAAAATTCTGCCCCTATTATGTTGCATTGTGAATAGAACTTATTATTCCAGAATGAAAACTGAATTAGTCAGTGTTGAGAACAAGGCTACAGATGTTGTTTTTCAGTGTTCTGTATCTGGATTTAAAGAAAGACAGATTGCGCATGAATCATAAAAGAAAGTAAATAACTTGAGAGGAGACAAAGTCTTTCTGTGGAAGGCATTTCTCATGCACTCGTGATTCCTCATTCACAGTAGTTTTCACATGCTTTAGGCAAGGAACCTTCCTCATGGTTTGTAATCATTTTCACACTTTTTACGTGTTTTTCCTTGGCAAGGGAAGTCTGATATAGCCCTGGATAGCAGCATGAAACCGTAATGCAAGGTCCCCAAACTTTTGGGTTTTGTGGACACATTGGGAATATAAGTGATTGCTGCAAGCATCACCACACAATACTTAATTGGTGGATCACTACTTTGTTATCTACCTGTATGTATGGAGTGGGGATTCATCTCTCACACATTACAGTTTGCTCTGATAAATTTGTCCAATTCTGAGAAGGAGGTAAAAGGGCAAAGTGTAGCAGAAGACTTGGCAGTTTCAAGGTTACTTAGTGAAGATTCTTTGGCAGAACATGGAAAAGGAGGGGAACTTTTCTGAGCGGGAGCAGATGGAGAGTCCTTGATCCAGTCAGGTGATGCAGGCAGACCAATTAACAAGTGTCCAGTGTTCCCACCATCTAGCCCTCAAGCAGCAAGAGCCACCCTGAGTGTAGAGTCAGAAACTTTACTGAAAAGAGGGAAGGATGGGAGGTTTCAGTCTGGATACAGCTCTATACATGGGAAGATGTGTCTACCACTTGTGAAAGATAACGCAACTCTGATTTATACTACAGTGGCACCTTGGCTCATGAACTTAATCCGTTCCACAACTCTGGTCATGACCCATATTGGTTGTGAGCCAAATAAAATTTCCCCATAAGGTTCAGTGTAAATAAGGTTAATCCATTCTGTAACAATTTTTTTAAATCACAAAAATTTGAAGCAAATTGACAAAGAACAACAAAGATCGCAGCCATCTCCCCTCCCAAGCACGACCACGATCGTGGCCATATCCTCCCCCCCAGTACGATCGTGGCCATCTCCCCCCCACCCCGAGTGTGATTGCTGTCGCACTCATGCAGGGAAGACAGGTGCAATCGCTATCGTCACCTGATGTGGAGTTCACGACCTGAGGCAATTTTTTTCTGAAATTTCTGTTCGCGACCCAATTTGGTTGTGAAATGAGGCGTTTGTGACCTGAGGTACCACTGTATTCTGTAACCTGTTAAGTTTTAATAAAAGAACTTCACTTCTAAGGTTTTGTTTGAGTCTGCTGGAGAGGGAAAGAGGGAAGTGGACTTGATAGCCTAATAGGGCATCCAACTCTACTATTCTATGAAGTGACCTGCTCATGACAGACTCTTAGACTACATCTTATTTAGCAAAATAATTTCATGTCTACTGTACATTGCCACATTTCTTTAACACAGGACTGTCCAAATCAGCTGCAGTAAAATATAGCTAAGTTTTCTGACAATGTGTAGTTGCTTTGTTTTCAAGAAAGCTTATTGCTTAGAGACAAATTTTGCACTGGATCAGTTTTTAATATTTACTGAGGCATTCACTTTCAAATTACTAACCTGCTTAATGGAAATTAACAAATGGTCAATGTAAATGGATTTTCTGTGATCTTTTGGTAACTAAAATTGGATATTACATTTTGAAGGACTAACACTCATCCTCTATAAGGCAATGGATTCATACAATGCTTTCAATATTTGAAGGGGTGGGACATATATGCCACCTTCAGATGAATTCTTATTTGGATATTTAATCAGCTTTTGTTGAAGCCTAAATTATAATTGCCAGATTCAAACCCATGTTCATATATCAAAAATAAGTATTTTAAAAACTAAAAAAGTTATCCATAGGCATCATATTGAAAATCCCCTTACAAGCACTACTGGAGCAGCTCACCCCTGTCCTAATATGTTTACATAATTCCACTATACTACAATTCACCTAGCATTTGCATACGGGAGATACAGGAAAACAAAGAAAGAAAAACCTTTGAAAAAGCTTGTTTAACGGATCCAATCTTAATCAAGAATCTAGAAGGCAAAGCTTCAGAAAAGTGAAAAATTAAAGGCTTCATGCAGAAGAATCCAAAGCAAAGAGGAAAATACTTTAGTATACAAAAATGAGATATTTTGCATTGCATCCTTTTTTGTAGCTAAAATAGTAACCAAAGTTAAAGCAACAAGGTCTGCTTCAGTGAAAAGCATTGTCTCTATGATGGATCCAAAGAAAGCACTTTAGTCCATACATGCAAGTCATTAACTAATGGTGAAGCAACCCTGATAGAAAAAAGAAGGTAAAAATGGGCCAAACTGAATAGGCAAAAGCAAGATTCATAACATGACAGTCTTCATTCTCAGCTAGAGTCTTGTAGGCATTTTATGCTCAAAAGACACCATATAGCATCACAGCCCCCAACTTTCACTCTTGTTTTATAGCAACATAAATGGAGACAGAACTCCTTGCAACTCCATGATGCATAATAAGTACTGAAATGATGAAAAATTGCTATGGCAATCAGCAACATATCACAAAGGAAAATATGAAGGTTTTTTCTTTTGATAACACCTGAAGTGCTGTGTTTTGCATCAGAACAGTCACCAGGCATTTGCAGCATATTTTCCATAATGGAATAATTTTCATTGGCACCCCAATTCTCAAACAGGAGTTGGACAAAAAATATACTCATTTTCAGACAGGAGCAAACCAATGTTTCTCTTTATGAAGTGCACATTTTCTCTAACAATTTAAAAAAACAAAAAAACATGTTATTCTTAGTATTCTTAGCGTGTAAGTCTATGTACACTTATGTTGCAGTAAGTCCCAGAATTTTGTTTTTATGCCTGTCCACTCAGTCCTTCTTGATGAATCCTGACCACTTTTCTTGTTTCTGGTCTTTTACAGAATTTAACATGTCAAAATGCATTTACTAAATTCTACAGCAAGTATGATTAGTGTTGGGCATAGAAAAGGTTGACCTGAGTTCAGATTCCTGCTCAGCTACGAGGTTCCCTGGGTAACTCACTAACCATCCCTCAAACAATGAACATATAAGGAAGACCATGCCACCCTGATAGGGCTTTGGGGCAAGTAGACAAAAGAGTGTAGTTGGAGGAGGAGGCCCGTTGCAAAATTATTCTTTGCAAGGCTGTGGCTGATTATGAGCTGAGACTTGCAAAGAATAGCAGGAGCAACAAAAAGGGCTTCTATCGACATCTAAATAGCAAGAGGAAGTGGAGACAGGTGGTGGGACCACTTAATAAGGAGGAAGGGGATCCAGTGACTGATAGAAGGGAACAGGCACAGATGCTAAATGACTGTTTTGCCTCTGTGTTCTCTCCAAAGCAAGATGGGGGAGATCTACATGGAGGATTGGATGAAGTCAGGGATTTAGGGGCACAGATTAGAGTAAACCCATAGATGTTGAGGGGCTCCTCGGGGCACTGGATATTACAAAGGTGCTGACCCTGATGGGCTTCACCTGAGGGTACTTTGAGAATTGGCAGGGGTACTCTTGTGTCCATTGGCCTTCATTTTTGAGGCCTCTTGAAAAATGGGAGAAGTTCTGGAGGATTGAAGGGTGGCATCAGTGGTTCCAATCTTCAGAAAGGATAGCAGAGGGGATATGGGAAACTACAGGCCTGTTAGCCTTATGCCATTTCTGGGAAAGACAATGAAAGGCTCATAATAGCAAGGGATCTAGTAACCCTAGATAGGGAAGGGAGGTTGATGGCCATGTAACATGGCTTCTGCAAAAACAGTTTCTGCCAGAGGAAACTTGTGGAATTCTATGACAAGGTTTCGAGGTGGCTAAATGGAGGGGGTACGGTGGATGTGCTTTACCTGGATTTCAGCAAGACCTTTGACAAAGTGCCTTATGATATGCTGGTTGAGAAATTGAGGAGTTTTGGGATAGAGTGATGCACTGTCTAATGGATTAGGGCATGGCTGACAGATCGAAAGCTGAGGGTAACTATTCATGGGGAATCATTGGGATGGTGGCCAGTGACAAGCAGGGTCCCCCAGGGCTCTTTTCTGGGACCAATCCTGTTCAATCTTTTCATCAATGACCTGGAAGAGGAGGTGACAAGTCTGCTGATCAAATTCACAGATGATACTAAAATGGGGGCAATGGCCACAACTAAGCAGTACTCTGGATCCAGAAGGATCTGGACAGACTATGGAAGTGGGCAGGGAACAACAGGATGGGGTTCAATGTGGATAAGTGCAAGGTCTTACTCTTGAGACACAGGAACAGCTGTCACAGGCACAGGATCTGGGACAAGTAGCTGGAGAGCAGCATTTGTGAAAGGGATCTTGGGGTACTTGTCAAGAGCAAGCTGAACATGAGCCAGCAGATTGATGCAGTGGTTAAGGAAGGAAATGCCACCCTTGGATGTATAGGCAGAAATGTGATTTCCAGATCAAGGAAGGATACTGCTCTACATGAGTTTGGTGCACCCACAATCGGAGTAATGTGTCCAGTTCTGGGCTCCACATTATAGGAGAGACATAGCTAGGTTAGAATCATTTCAGCGCAGGTTCACAAAAATGGTAACTCAGTTGGGAGGGATGACATATGAGTAGAAATTGAAAGAACTTGGTCTTTTCAGCCTGGAGAAGAGGCGACTCTGAGGTGATCTTTTAGCAACTCACAGGTATGTGAGGGGATGTCATGTGGAGGAGGGC